AATCTGAGTTACGTAAATATGTAACACATATTTAATTTAGATTTGTGTAATGTTAATCTTACTAAAATATTAAATTTTTATAAAAATCTTAATTTAGACTAATTCCAAAAATCGGCACATATGTGACTATTTAATACCAAATTTTAAACGTGAACAACTCCATCAATATTGATGCTACAGATATGAAATACATATCATTGGAATCCTCTCGATGAGCTGAATCCAACCGTGTAAAGATCATAAAATTCGAATCACTGGATGCGGAGTTCGTTAATTTTGAATTTTAATATTATTGTTTACTATAAAATCATATGACTATGACGTAATTTTGACCATTTTGACTTTTGGAGGGGCTCAAGTCGAAATCATTTTGACCATTTTGACCATTTCGGAGGTTAAAATTAACCAATTTCAGTTTAATGTTTATTACTTGCAATTCATAAGTAAGATATTTTATTGCAAAAGTTTTTACAATAGAAATAGAATTAACACAATATATTGAATCTTTAAATGAAGTTTTTAAAAAGCATGTAAATCAAGGAATTTTATTAAAGGAATTGGTAAAGAAGATAGAAAATAAATAAATAAATAAATATATAATGTGCATAGTCTAAAGCCACCACTTTTTTATTTTTTGGCCAAATTTATATAAAATCACGTGAGCAAATTTCATTGGTCAATATTTACTTATCATATATATATATAGGTGGGTTTGTAGAATAGAATACCAATTGTTTAGCCAGAATTAATATTAATTCTGGCTAAAATGATTTATAAATTCATATTATCAGAAAGAACCTGTTATTTTATTATATTTAAAATTGTAATACCTATTAAATTTTTTCTATATTAATTAAGAATAATAAACATATATTTAATTTGTTTCAAAAAAAAAATAAAATTAAAGATAAATAATTCTCATTCAGTTATTTAAACAAAAATATCTTTATATTAATTCTTAATTTAGGCCAGTTTATAAATTTTGGCCTGCATTATATTAGTATTAAACTGGCCAAATTCCTCCAAATTTATTCAAAACATAGTAAAATAACCAAAATTAAAACTTATATATCTTATGCTACAGTAATTCAATTTGAAAAAACTCTCTGTTACATAAAAGTATACTGTTTAAACTACAATATTACAGAAAGTTTTTTAAAAAAATATTGATTAAATTTTTTTTTCTATTCATTTGAAATCACATAATAAAAAGTGGTGGCTTTAGACTGTGTGCACTATATATATATATAGATAGATAAAGAATCACAATATAATTAAATTAAAAATTATTATAGTGCAAACCTATTAACTGATACTATTTTTAAAGATATAAGAGCTTAAATGAAACAGGCATTATTATACCAAAGAACTTTAGTTTCTATTGAATAAATTAATGAATTTGATGAAAAATTTGGAAATATTGTAAAACATATATATAATAGATCACAAATTAAATTATAAGAACTTTTAATAAATATTGATAAAAAAGAAATTCAAGAAATATAGGAAGTTAATTATATTGCAATATCTTCATTAATAAAGTTATATTATGTAGTGATATTTGGAGAAATAACATTACTTTGTACATACATATATATTATCAACCAGGAAATGCTATATCAGCACTAATATCAGATTTTTCTCCAATCTAACAAAGTTATTTTTCACATGAGTTTTATGTTTGTTTGAATTAATACCATCTGAAACAAACAATTATATTACAATTAATTAAAGATCTACAACTTATACAACCAATTCATTACAATATATTAATCAAATATAAATTGCTAATACTTATACATCGATTATTAGAGAAAATATTAATAAAAAGATCAAATTCAGTATTATGATGTCAGTAGCAAAAACTAGTGTTTAAATTGCTAGTTAGCTAGACTTCTTATAGAATTATTATAAAATACTGTCAAAATACTGCTTGAATATAAAAGTAATTTGTTATGAAGAGCCTTCTGTAATTCTATTAATATTTGATAGTAATATTCCAAAAATTTTAAATCTGGAATATTATAAGCCAAAATGACGTTTTCTGAAGTGTTATCATTAATAGAAGAGAGTAATGTTCAAAATATATCAACTTCATTTAAAACGTGTAATTATTATTAGGAAAAAGAATATAATATTAAGGAATGCAAATAAAAAACTTATTTAGTTGTAAAAGAATAAACATGATTTTTTACTTTTATATTTTTAAAAATTATTTTTTATAAAAAATTATTTTTAAAAAGAGCTGATTATCTTTATTAAATTTTACTGTTAGGTTAAAATACAAAATATATCTAATCACTACCCATTTAAGTGCAATAACAAATATATCTCATGAGTATATATTCTCAAATTTTATATAATAAAATACTTTAATTTATATATTATTTGAAAGTTACAGTTTTAGAGAATAAATATTATATGAATTTTTATATTTTTATTTTTCAAATTAACAATTATTAATATCTAAAAAAATAAAAATTAGCATTATTTCAAACTTTTTAAATTGTATTAGAAAAAATATTATACTAATAAAAAAAACTCCTAAAATTAAATATCTTTTAAATTTTTTATTTAAAATTTTTGCAAAAAAAAGTATTTAATATTGGAAAAATATAATTAATAAATTATATATAAAAAGGAAATATTATATGATTTTTTTTCTTTTTTAAACTAGTTTATAACCAATAACATTAATAATAAATTTACTAATAAATTTTTCTAAAAACTTCTATTAAAAGTAAAATATATTTAAAATTTTTGAAAATTAGGTAATTTTTTAAATATTTTATATATCATAATTAAATATTGATCACTATAAAGTTAAATAGTAAAAAAAAAAAATATTTTATATGATTAATAAGTAGTTTCATAAAAATTAAATGTTTTATAAATATAACAAGTAAATTTTATAGAATTTTAATAGATAATTTCTATTTATACACAATAATTATTTAAATAATTTGAGTATATTTAAGTATTTAAATAGGTTTAGTAGTTATTTAAGTATTTGTTTAGTCAGATATAATATAGTTAAAATTTTAATTGGATGTTAAATTCTCTGAATTAAAATTAAGTATATTTAAATATATTTGATTTCAAGTATACAGGTTTCCAAAAAGTAAATTTTCTATGCTGATTATTTAATGTTAAGCAGAATTAAATTTAATAAAAAATCAGGAAAAAAAAGAATTTATTAAATAAATCAAAATTGACATTCAAAATCAACTTGGACATTTTAAGTAAATTTGTGAAACAGATAAAAATGCACATATTGCATGTTCCTTTTAAATTATATTTATTAAAATTTTTTTTACATGACTTTTTAATAAATTCACATAATATATGTATAAACATCCAGTGCAAATTAAGAAATTTCATTTTAATAAACTAATTAGAAATTTTGAAATGCTGTAATTAATTAGAATACTATAATAATTTGAATTTGATGCTCTAAAAAACTTTAAAATTTGTAATCTGATATTTGATTTAATTCAATTTATAATCCAATACTTCAAATTATCCAATTTGACCTAACCTTAGGCCGCACCAATTCAATTTTTCGTTTAACATAACTCCTTCCCCCCTGTTTTTGGATTTTTTATGTAAAAAAAATACATGTAATTTAGGCCGGAATTATACAAATCTTTAAGTATTGGCCGGAATTATCATTCAAAATTTTTGCTCACTCTTTTGGTCAAAATTTTTGCCAATATTAATGGTAATTCTGGTCATGTATTGTATCTGTCTCTTATACACATCTAGATGTGTATAAGAGACAGATATAAAGTAGTTATTGTCTATATTGTATCTGTCTCTTATACACATCTAGATGTGTATAAGAGACAGGCCTTAATATGCTAATTGAAAAAATAAATTCTTTTTTTGTAAAAAGTTTTTACATTATTTTCTTTTTTAAATTAAAGTTTAATATTAAAAGCAAGAGTAAGAAACCCTAAAGAATTAATTCCCAATACTTGGCGATGCTTTTTGGTAAGAAAACCTTTTATTAGAGGGTATGGGTTAAAAGTTGGTAAACATAATTCTTAAGTCTTCAAATTTATAAATCGTATCATGTATTTTATTAGGTAAGAAACCTTTGATATAAGTTATACATTTAAGATTCAGATTTACGAAGAAGTCCGAGGGGTAAAACAAAGATTCAGTGTTTATTAAACGAATTTCTAAGGAATTTATTTAACGGTAGGAAAATACACGTAATAGTCAACAGATCATAATATTATTATTCATTACAATTATCGTCAACCTCCTCATTGTCGCTCCAGCTCTTTTCACAAGTTCCTAATGGAAGTTGACCTGCCATTCTCTTAAATGCATATTTGAAAACTTTAAATCCTGATAACCCAGTTTCTTCCCACCATTTTTCAACAGTATATAAACCATCATACCGATAACCTTCTTTAGGTGCAAATTCGTTATCTAATTTGTGTCCTCTATACAATAATTATATTTAAAAGAAAAGATTTAAAGGTTTAAAAATTAAAAATTGTAAACTGCATGAAACTATTCATATTAATTTAATACGCTACCTAATTACTCGGACGGGTTTATTAGTTTCACATGAAATTTTAAGAGCCAAATTCCCGGCAGATAAAATTTGATCCTTTGTCTAATAATAATAAATAAGTTAAAATACTTAATTAACAAATTAGCAATCTAGTATATTAACCTGAGGTCCAGTCCTCAAATTCTTTGGATTGTTCTTCGTTCCCTTTAAATCTCTGCCACCAGAACCAGTATAGGTGAACGCTTCTCCTATGTATCATTTAATTGATTAAGAATTAAATTAAATTAAATTAAGTTAAAAAAATTATGGTGGTTTGATTTACCCCAATCAACATCATCTTCGTATCCCTAAAAAATCAATATATAATTATTAATTATTGATTATAAAACTCCATATGAGAAGAATACATACTCCCGATAAAGCAACGCTATAAGCTCCTTCACTTTCAGCAAATGCGATCCCAGCCACAGGTGGTCTGATTTATATAAAGATGTTATTAAAGTCAAAGCAATCAAATTATTGTAGTGATGCTTACGCGTGAACTCCTTGATGACTACATTCCATACGAGTTGCCCACCAAGCTCCAACTTCTACATCAGGAATTTCGCCAAATCGTTTTGGATTAGGACGATATTTTCTCCAATCAAGATCCTTTTTGGAAATATATGAATCACGTTTTCTTTCAACGACTTCAATTTCTTCAAAACTTTTAGCGGGCTATTAGATAATGATCATTAATGTCTGTTCCAAATTGAATCAATTTTTAATAAATTTATTTTTTACCAGTTTCGCTAACCGCGATGATCTTCTTATCCCTCTCCCACGTGATATCGAATCATCACCGGTTTCTGAACTTGTAGTATCCTTATTCCTATTAGTATTTGCAGCTCTACGATTATTTGGCTTACTAGTTTTTTTCACATAACCTTCTATAGTAGGTGGTCTTTCTAAACCTAGTTCACGTAAAATTTGTTTATTTGTTTCTATGTTTTTTAAACGTTTCTTTTCGTATTCGCTTAACATCCTGAACGGGTTTAAAAAAAAATATTGTTGGGAGTGAGTAGAATCATTCTTATAAGTTGCGATAAAAACGTGTAAATTTTCTAAATCAGTGATTTACTTTACATATTTAGTTATTTAATTTATGGGATAAAAAAAGATCTTTAAAAAGCCGAATAATCTTAAAATAAATCTCAGGCCTTAAATTTTTTGTTATTCATCGATTTTAACCGTGTAATAAAAACTGTTAGCATTATAGCAAACTCGAATCTAAAATAGAAATTTGATTTTTAACGTAGAAATTTTTAATAAAAATGTTTTCAACCATTAATTATTAGTATAGATTCTTTATAATGGAAATAACATTTATTAGTCTTCTAATATGGTATCAAACATTTTGTATATCCTTATAAACTTATTGCATTCATCTTCCACCTCATAAGACATTACACAAAAATCTATTAAAGGCCCACAACTTGCTTGACTCTTTAAGACATTACCCAACAGTTTGTGCATTCGATCTTTTAACTTTTGAAGAAACATTGGATTCTTATAAAGACTTAAATAAAATAGCAATTATTAATTAAATAATTTAAATTAATTTAATACATAAGTAGAAATAATACGTACTTTACTGGAGGCAATCCGTCCAAAAATGTATTCTAAAACGAAAATTTATTAAAAAATAAACAATTTAACATGCAAATGCAAAATAGATAACTTGTATTCATTTACCGCATCTTCGTTTGTTATTAATACCGGAAGAGTTCCCGCACCAAGCTCATCCTCAAATAATAAACCAAAATCGTATTTAAATACTTTTAATTTTTTAAAACATTGCGTACAATTTTCGTACTCTGCAAAATTCATTCTGGGAAAAGGAACGTTTACTTAATTTAGTAAATATTTAGATATATAAGGTGACAAGTTCATGCTTTTCTTACATTTTATTGCATCTATGACAGTATGGTCGAGAAAAGTCTTCAAAATTGGAGGGAATAACAGAAATTACACGGCCACGAGTTCGAAACAAACCTACAGGCTAAACAAGTAAAAAAAAAAAATTATTATATAACCTAATTAAAGATTAACGGAATCATCAGTTTATACCAACCTCTGGACAATCTTTTATATCATCTATGTCCGTAAGTTTAATATTATTATTGCATTTGATTCCTAAATTATTTAATAAGTCAAAGGCATAAATTTATAGAATAAATACTAGGATAACATTTGTTTAAATATATACTCGTTATTGATTGTTCCGTTGTGTCAGATTCAAGCTCAGGGGAAGAGTCTCTTTCGTGATATTCTAAAGAATTCTGATGCTCTTCATAATATGCATTCCTTCGACTGTCATAGTTAATAAAATATATCAAATTGTGAGATAATGTAAGTATTTACCAGATTTATGTTACATACCGAATAAGCTTGGCAATCTCAACATCATTTTTGTCTAATACATTGATTTTTTTTCTTCTGAGTTCTCTATCACCATGTAAAGCGGCCACTAGATCGCCATTTGTATTAATTTTCGCATGCAGATTTTGCAACAGAACAAATGTTCCGATCTGAAGATCTTCACCATCTTCAGCATGTTCATCCCATAATGTGATTTGCAAAATGCTTTCATTAGGAAGGCCATAAGGAGTATTCGTCCTATATTCTCGATTGCCAAGACGTTTGTTCTCGGTGAAATCGGTGACATAAAGATCCACGGCGTTCTCTGTAGGATAGACCATTACAACCTGGTTAAAAAAACACGGTAAACAATTATTAGAAAGTTACAAAAAGTAAAAGCAATAAGACATATAAAATTACCTCGGCAATTAAATCGAAAAATATATGAGGCGAAAGTTCCTCAATTCTTCTCCTTTGTCTGGACGAGGTTATGGAAGTATAATTTCCGACTTTTGGATTCGATAATGATGCACACCATCGTCTCAGATAATTGGCATACGCCATAATTTCTTTGGCATGCTGTCGCATGTTAAAAGGAAATTGCTGATTTTGGTTTGCAACATCACATATAACTTTAAACGTGGATTCTTCTTTCGTCGCCACGAGTTGCGTGGTTTCATGAAACGTATTAATCTATTAAATCCAAGATTGATTAAAATAACACATAGAATGATTGAATAATTTATTTAAAAATTTTACCCTTAGATGTTTTCCTATAAAAATACTACCAACGCTTAAGTCTGGCAAGTGTTCTTTCCGGGATCGGAATATATTAACGGAGATTCCTTTAACATTATTAGGTATTGATGGGTCAACCAGTGTAAGAGAACACGTATAATCTATTAACGAAAATAAAAATTTAATTAATGTTTCAAATGAAATACTTTATTCGCGTGCTATACCTGTTCCACTCGATTTTCTATTCGGGGTGTAAGAGACGACTACACCCACGACGTTAACTAGAGCTCCAGGTAATCGAGCTTTTTGGAGTAATATGAAACCATTAACAGGAGAATGTTCTGAGGTCTATTTATAACCAATGTAAAAACGTGAAATATATACTAATTTATGAATTATGTACAATTAAAAGCATACCAAACTAACGTTAACATTCTCGTCTGTTAAAGTTTCTGGAACCTCTTCATCTGAATGTTGTCCTGATTCCGAATCTAAACTTGAGACAGAGCTCATTTTATTTCAACGTTTTTTTTAAAAAAACAAAAGCGCGAATTTATTCTGATCAAACGCGTCAACCTGGTTGTAGTATTAATTTATTAATTGCAAATATATCGTTCTTGATTCATCAGATGTGGGCGCACAAAATATAATTCTTGGCCTATATATAGGTATATATAGGTCACGTTAGGGTATAATGTCTAAGGTATCTACCGACCACCGCTCAACGCGTCTTAGCGAAACTTATAAATTTATCACCGTCGAATTTATAGCTTTTATCACTCAATAACAGAAAAAAAAAAGTGGAAGGAAATTTGGATAATAATTGACTTAATACTTACTATTCAACAAGAAAAATAGAAAATGGGTTTTTCACATACAAAAGGGGCACATAAATTTGAAAAATTTGGCGTTGGACTATTTACTTTTTTTGTAGTTTCCGTTAACCAAATTTGGATAATGAAAAAAGAATTTTTCCGAGGGGTCACAAAAGTATAAAACGGAAATCATCTTATTTTCCTTTACAAAATATTTAGGTGAAATGTCAAAAATTGTAGATAACAATACAGAAGTTCTCAATTCAATTAGGAAATACTTTGAAGGTGACCTTTCTTGGAGCGTTCACATTGAATCTTTAGTAGTTTGGCTAGGAACTCAAAATATTTCAATTAGCGGTAAGGACCTCTCTAAGTTAGTACAAGAACATGAAGACGAGTTCGAAATTAACAAATCACCAAGTAATTCCGTAGAGGTTAAACTTAAAAAAGTGATAGCACCTGCATTTAATGGAAGTTCAATTGGGAACGGTTCTTATATTAAAGATATGATAGAGCTTCAACAAGCGGAATTCCTCAAGCCATGTTTACAAAAAACCATAAATAGCGAATTGAACACAGAGAGCTTGTTTTATGGAGAAACTATTAAAGGTTCTTCAACAGTTCTTCCCATGCGAATAACATTACCTATATCTTCTCAACCTAGAACTCCTCAAAACAAATCAATTGAAACTTTTCCAAAAAATATTGCTAGAGAAAGTAAAGCTTTAGAATGTGCAAAGAAATATCTCAATTCATTTTTAGTTGATTCGATCTATGATTTAGAACAACATATGAAATCGAAATGCGTAATAAATGATTCAGAATTTCAAAATTTTTTACGCGAACATAAGGAATTCTTTCATATTTTTTCTGAACGAGGGATTACGTGTATTAAACTTGCAAATCCATCAATAAAAATAACGGAAAATTCAAATACCATGATAAAAAGGCGGTTTTCTCAAACAGAACGACTGATAAAAGATTATATCATTAGACAAGGAAGAGACGAAGGTGTATCTAGCACCGAATTGTCTATATCCCTAAGAGGAATAGAAGGATGCATCACCGATGAGCTTGAAGAATTTCTCAAAAGTTGCAAAGATCCATTTGAATGTTTCCTCAAGAATGAGTATTATTATATAAAAATGAAACCTCAGCCATCAAAACCAGTGGTTTCCGCTCTACTTAACACTAATAGTAATAATTCGATTCTTCAATTAATTCGTGAATTTCTAATGAAACAAACAATCGCATCCGTAACGGAAATTAAAGAGCATTTGAAAACATATAAAAATTTACCAACTTTTTCGATTCCCGAATTTGCAAATTCATATTCTAGTGAGTTAATATCTAAAAATGTTGATGGAAATCTCTATCTTCGTCTCAAACCAACAGATGATAATATTATCTCTTACATACGTAAATATTTATTTGAGTTTGGAAAAACCAAACTTTCAACTATGGAAGATTACCTTAAACTCCGAAACATGTATCCACGCAACAATTTGAAAGATTTTTTATATAATTTATCTGACTTTAAATTAACTGGGGACACCGAATTACATGTTCAATCTCATAATGTCGATATTGCTCGACTTCTCCGTCAATATTTGAAGGGAAACGGCGAAGTATTAATTTCAATGGTTTACGATTATCTTAACAAGAAATATATACATCTTGATTGTAAGTTGATTGAATTTCTGGAAGATTATCCGGAGTTTGTACTCTCACAAGGCCCAATTGATATTTTAGTTAAATATAAATCTGCACCGAACGAAATTTCACCAAAAGAATTTGTTCGCAAATATGTCATGTTTGAAGATGGAAAAGTTCCTTTACGCGTTTTGGTTTCACATTTAAATTGGAATAATTCATTTCCAGAATTCAAATTGGTTGAACTTATACAAAATAGCGAAGAATTCTTACTTGAGACTTTTGAAAATGAAAAATGGATCACTTATGATGCACTAAAATTAAATACAGCGATTGATGATAATGTAAGTTCTACCGACAAAGTTAATTCACAAAATGAAAGAAAAACAACAAAATCAAATAAATTAACTCTCCCAAACGCTCAGATTCTTAAAGATCAGGAGAAACCATCTTTAGAAAAGTCAATAATTGACGTAAATACAAAGTCAATAGAATCTGATACATCTCCACGAACACATATATTTGCGATATCATCAGAAGTTGGTAAATCAGCCCCTCAATCACCTGTACTACTTGAACCTTCAAAGATTAAACCTCCTCAGTTCGAGTCTAAAACTCCAATATCTCTTCAACCTATTACTTTGTCTCCAACAAATGTTCAATCCTTGACAATATCCAAATCCGAAACATCTCCTATAATAAATGAACAAGTTCCCAAACCTTTTCTGTCCGAAACTCTAATTTCTATTCAAATGAATAGATTGAGTAATCAACCGAAGGAAGCCCGTAATACAGAGAATGATATCCAAGAATTAATTATAAGCGACGAGTCTTCAACTGAAGATATATCGTATCAAAATCATTTGTTTTGTCATTCTTTGTTGGAAACAAAGCGTTCACTTTTTAATAGCTACACGAGTTTGGGTACTTTGGAATCATTGCCAAATGAAATAATTTACTTAAATGGAAAATATCCATTTTCCATGATTATTACGGGTCTTCCTAATTCTGGTGTGAATCAAACCAAGAATACCATTCTAGAAGGCTTCTTGATCAAGAATACGCGTCTTGGCAAATTAAATTCTCCTTTTTCGGCTTTAATATTCCGATATGATAACAGTGTAATGACTCTACCTTGTGAAAGTGCTTTAATTGCTACGTCAGCTAAGCATTCCAAAATGTTTGATCAAGACACTCGAGCAGAAAAAGTTATTATATTGGTGACTTTATCCAATTATCAGAATATGTTAAGATTATATGCAAATATCGGTAATTGCGAGGTTATCCCTTTGTTATTTTCTGAAAATGATTTATGTATTAATGATATAAAATCATGGATAAATGTTGAAGGAGGGGATGCTCAAATTCACGAACAGGTTAAAGCATTGATTAATGAGACTCTATGTTTTTATACAAATAGCCAGTTTAATTATAACGAATTTTGTATTCAATTATATAATGGATGTATCAACAATCCAGAAGTGAAAACTTTTCTCAAAACGCGATTGGGCAAATTAGATTCTTTTATTGTTGAAAAGCTGAAAGATAATATAAATTTACAAATTAAAAGTTTTATTGATAAGTTTGTTTCATTAAAAGAATTGTTCCAACCGGGAGCTGCAGTGATTGTTGACTTGAGTGATCCCTTACTTGGTGTTAAAATGGCGTCAGAACTTTTTAATATTATTCTTGGAATTTATACCCGGTGTAATTTAAAATCAAGTGTGGTTGAGATTGAATCTTATGTTCGTAAGCTTGTAGTTTTGGATGAAGCCCATAAGGTAAGTTTGCTGTCTTCTTTTACCTTACATAAGCAAATCGAGATTAGATCGTTTTAATAGTAAAATAATTATGATATTTTATTCCTATTGGAAAAAAAGAAATGATTATAATAGTTTTTACTAAAAAGGTTTTTCAAAAAAAATACTCTCTAAAATCTTTACTTTCATTTGATTATAAAGTTTCTAGTAGCCAATACATCATTAGCCACAACAATACATCATCTTCAATCCTATCCACAATATCACAAAGTGAGTCTAATTATAACTACATATGAGCCAACTTCAATTCCTATTCCTATATTGTTACAATCAAATATTCTTTTACTCCATCACTTTTCATCACCTTTATGGTCTCAGTTTCTTTTACAACATATTCCTTTTTCAGAAGTAAATTTTGAGAAATTATTGAGTAAAGTTATGAGACTAAAAGTAGGAAGAATGGTTGTATTTTGTCCTCATAATGATAATGACTTTGGTTTAATCATAAATAACAGTAAAAAAAAAGAAATTGAAAATAGAAATAGCTATGTAATTATATTAAGAAAAAGAATTACTTTTACATAATATTTTTTAAAATAATAAGATAAAAAATAATTAGATAATTATAAATAATTTAAAAATTATTATAGTTAAAACATTTTATTTTTAATTTTTAGATATTATAAATAAAATAAATTACAATACTATGTAAAATAATTCAAGTATCATTTTTCATTATACTATTTTATAATTATTATATATAATATATTTACAAAAAAGTAAAAATATTATTTGTAATAATGTATAATACAAAATTATATAATTTTCCAAAAAAAGTAAATTTTTTTGCTAATGATGTATTATAACATTTTTGGTTTAAAAATAAGATATATAATAGGTTGTTTCATATACATTTATTTTTATATAATACAGTTAGACCTTTATAGTTACACGTTCTATAATTGCATCTACTATGTAATTCAATTTTAAGCTTATATAATATCTAATTATTTTCCTCTATAAATGCACACTCTTTAAATGAAAATTATGCATATAATTCCAAGAAATATGCAATTATAAAGGTCTAATTGTATTAATAAAAAGTTTAAAAGTAGTTTTAAACTTTAAAAGATTTAAAACTAAATAATAAAATCTAATTTTAAAAATTGGTTTCAAAATACCAAATTTATTTAAAATATTTATTTGGTTAAATTAATATATAATTTTTTAAAAATATTTTATCGCATATTCTTTAATTTTCTTTTATTTAAAAATTATATATTATTATTCATAAAGAGTCCTTATCAATTTTACTCACATCCTTTTCTGATTTATTAATTTAGCAAACATTTTGCAATTTGACTTCCAATTTTAGCATTATTTTTTAATAATGAAATGTCTATAAAAATAAATAAAATTAATATGATTATTATTAACTAATTTTTTTGTATACATACTTGACTTTAAAGAATCCCCTTGTGTAATTTCATTAATTCTTTTAAGCAAAAATGGGGTTATATCTTTTCCACTAATTTCTCTAAAAAATGTGTTATGTTAAAACAATAAATCATTGCACATAAAATGGTTACAAAATAAATAATTATATATACTTTGCTTCAGCTAAAGCAATACTTAATGCTTCCTGTATTTTATTAGCATCAGCAGCCTCATTTTCGGGTATTGGTACTGCTATAAGCATTCCGCTATTTAGTTGAAGTTGTATATTTGCATCTAAAAAACTTATTATTTAAATGTAAATTACTCATCACTTAAAAAAGTTTTATCCTAAAAAGATATACCTATTAAAGCAGCACACTCTTTTACAGTTTTCAAATTTGATGGACTCTAAAAATAATAATAATAATAAAATATTATTATCGCAATAATATCAGGAATCTGTTTCAAGAAAAGGAAATTGTCTAACCAAATCGAAATTTTCATTACATTCTGATCTAACAAATACTTCATAAGAAATCTCAATTATAGGTAAGCCCTTAAATACAAAACATTTACTTACCATAAATCCACTCCTTGGTGTAAAAAAGGCTGGAAAATCTCTCGTTTCCCCAAATGTTGTTACTGATACACCTTGAGTTTCCTTACCAATTAAGAAATAAATGTTAATTATAATTGCTTAATATAATATTAAAGTCTAATTTCTCACCAGATATTCCAAAGTTTTCTCAATATCCAATATTGATTTAACTCCCGCACACACAACAGCTACGGGAGTTCTTCCCAATTCAACCAAATCAGCACTTACATCCATAGCTGTTTATAAAATAATGAGAATGAACACGTTTGATAATAATAATATTATTATTACACTTACATTTTTCTGCGCCCCAATGAACGCCTCCTATGCCACCAGTAACAAACACTCTAATTCCTGCACGATGAGCTATAACCATTGTTCCGGAGACAGTTGTAGATCCTGTTAATCCCTAATTTAAAAAGAAATTATCACCTAGTCATTCCAGTACGTTCAAATACATAAATATGATTACCTGTGAAACAACATATGCAAGATCTCGACGAGAACTTTTTCTTGCTTTTTGTCCCATTTGTGCAAGTGTCTCTAATCCATTAGACGACAAACCTGTATAGGTTATAGGTTGAAATAACTTTAGATTCAATTATCACTAGAAATATATAAAATCTTATTATTGATAAAGAACTTGCCTACATTAATTTTTCCATTTAAAATTGCTATAGTTGCAGGTATGCTACCATTTTCCCTAACTATATTTTCAATTGCTACTGCTGTTTCCAAATTCTGAGGATATTGCATACCTTGAACAATGGGAGAAGTTAAAAAGTATTTTTTATTTACGAGGAATTGTATTATTTATACCATGGCTTATTACGGTAGATTCTAAAGCTACAAGGGGTTTATTTCCTTGTAAAGCTTCAAAGACTTCAGGACTGTAAACCCAGCCTTTAACTTCTAACGTGGACCTTGAGAAAACGCCATATCTTTTTAAACTTGAAGTAAGATATGGTTTATATAAAGGCTAAGGTAAAAAGAGAAGGTTTGGCATAAGAAATTTTATAAGAAAAATTAATGTTTTATCTAGTTACCGAAAAAGCTATTCTGTTTGTTGATTTTTCGAGAATGCGAGAAATGCTTGTATTAAAAGAACGGTATAATGTCGCCATTTGAATCCTAAAGAGAAAATCGAGATCGCGAAAAATCACTATTTAGACAATTTTGGAGATATGTCACGTGATATAACAATAAAACACTGTGATCATCGAGAAAAATACAACTAAAAAAATGGTCGACTTGACTTCAGAATTCAGAAAAATAGTCACTGAAATATTAAGTAATAATTCTACTTTAGAAAAAGAGAAAAAGAAACAACGTAATGATATATTGCCACCAGCTAAAAAGAATGCCAGAGAAGTACAAGACGAGTTTCTAAAAGAAGCTTACCGAATAGTAAGAATAATCATCCACAGTCTTAACAAAGTGTATTTAAAATATTAAGTTTATTTTTGTTTCTGCGTCTACTTTTTATTTTAGGCTTTCCATATCAATAATTTAAAGATATTTTTACTTTCAATTCGAAAAGCTTATTTAAATACTTCTTCGCGGCAGTTAAAACCTGTCTATAATTATCTTAGTCCATCTGCATCCGATAATAAAGATAAATTTTTTTTAACGAAATTTGATCCTTCTACAACTTTAACAGATAAAGAACGGGATGAAATTGATTTACATGCTAAAATTGTTATACAACAATGTTTAGATCGAATCAAGAAATTGGAAGAGTCTGAACAAAGTAGGTTCAAATGTCGGATTTATCGAGTTTATCTTGTTAATTAATAAATATTATACTATTACAGAACGACAAAATTCAATTATGAATAATACATGGAATAAACTTTTATCAACGGCTTTTTCGATTGAGCATGATATGTTGGCAGCCATTCGCAGTAGTATAACATGGTATTTAAACAAACGATTAACTGAAATATCAAAAATACAAAAAGACCAACAGGAAACTAGGATCATGAAAGAAATCGAAAAACGTGAGAGGTGAATATTTCAATCATTTATTTAAGTTATTTCCTAATTTATCAACAAGACTTAAATTTTGTGTTTAGTACATTATATAAGTCAGCTTCAATTAGGCCTTCTACTCCTTCACTTCAAATGATGATAAATGAAGAAAAGGAGATATCAGAAAAAAATGATAGGGGATTAAATAGAGGTACAATAGGAGAAGAAGAGGATGATGAAATAGAACAAAGTTTAACAGCAGAACAAAAAATGATGTTGGAAATGGAAAATGAAACAATGATGAAAGAATTAGCTACTGCTCTGGAGCAAGTCAAGTGAGTTTATGGGCTTTATAATAGGGAAATTCTTCATTCCATTAACCGACTCTTCTATTTTTGTAATTTAATAGTCAAGCAGAAAAAGCATTATTAGAGATATCAAATTTACAAACAGTTCTTTCAAATCATTTAGCAGTTCAAACACAACAAACAGATAAATTATATGCTGAAGCTATTGCCACTACTGATAGAGTACAAGAAGGAAATTTAATGTTGCATCAAGCAAGACAGAGAGCTTCTGATACGAGAAAATGGATTTTAATCTTTTTAATAATAGCTAGTTTCATTTTATTATTCTTGGATTGGTACGATTAAGATTATTATTCATAGTAGAATTTGCAAAAAAATATTTATTTATTTGTAATATAATATTCGGTAATTATAATGGATATTAATAATGATCGAATTAAGAAATAGAATGATTTATAAATACTTGAATTATTACACTTTATTAACATGTAATAACTTACTTCATGCAAAGCATTATCTACACTTACATTAGTAAAAGAGTAAATATAAACAAAACTATAATCACCTCTGAACTATTATTTACTGATACTCCGATACGAAATAAAAAAATCCATTAACCACTTGCTTCAGCTGATACCTCAGTTGATACAACTTCTTCTTTGATAGTATTATCACTTCCAGCAGCAGTTGAAGCAGTATTTGCTTTCTTTTTCTTCTTTTTCTTCGGTTTGCCAACACTAGTAGATAGTAATTGCAAAATTTCTTCATCTTCTAATTTTTTATCACTTTGAACTGTTTCTGGGTCATATAAGGTATCAGTGATTATACTAGTTCCATTTTTAGTTAATAAAATTGTACTAAAGAATTGTGCAACAAATTCTCCTATAAAACGTAAAAATTTTTAATAAACACTTTAAAAAATATCTAATAAGGAAATTTTACGCTTGCCTTCTTTTTCTTGATAAACTTCATATGGAGCTACTAACGAATGTTTAGTACATTCAATTATGCCCATCTTAGCTTTTTTTTCATCACTCAGAGCTCTTAAAGGAAATGGAAAGCTTCCAAATGTTTGACTAATCTCATTATATACAAGACGAGAAGCTTTCAACTTCAATAAATAAGTTATATCGGTTTTTTTATACACTGTAACACGTTTAGTTGTTGGTTTAGGCTATATAAATTAAGAAAAGGTTAAAGAATATGATTTTATAGAAGAAATTCTCTAATAATACAACGTACCTTTCCTTCACCAGTAGAGATCAATATATCAACACCATATACTTCGTTCTCACCAAATTCTACTTTATCAACTTTCTGATTTTCATTCGGATTGAGAATGATTTGCTTCTTACCTTCAATATTATTTTTTTCTTGTTGATACGATAACATACCTATAATAAAATAAATTTTACGTTAAGGTTTCATCTAAAGAAAAAATCTTTGCATAATATTCTCACACCTTCCACAGAATTCGTATCGAAAGCTTTAGCAATTTTTTGTATTGTGTCAGTAACTTTCATATTGCCCGAACCAGGCTTTATCAATCTCAGTGCAGCTTCAGAAGCTAAATGAGCAGCTGTCAATAAATCCGCTCTGCGCCCTTTAACAGGATTCTCCTTTGATGCTCCAACAACAATTGTAGTGGCTACGATTGCTGCAAATCCGTCGATTTGTGTTCCCAACTGAATTTTTGCCACATCTCCATTCTTTAAAACTTCTGAACTATCCGGATCGGACGGTAATGGAGAAAAATGACAAATAATATGATTCACTGATACACAAGTTGGAAATGCAATACCTATACAAATCGAAAAGCAAATTTAACAAGAAAAGTACATAATTTAAAATTAAAAAATTTTGTTACCTTTGGTAATATTTTTTGCTTTTGTAAAGAGAAGTTTTACATTCTCTTCAATTAAATTATCGCCTTTTGCACAAAGATCAATAATTTTCGCTCCATCCACAGCGGATTCAACCACCTTTTTGAGCACGCCTAAAAGTATTTTGAAGAAGGTTTATTAAATATTCTCCCTTGTATTCTTATTATTTCCACTGTGATATTCTAACTAAAGCGCTATCTCCAAGCATGTGAATAAATCACAATTACTATTATATAAAACACGTACAATTCGAAACTTCAGCTGCCATTTTATATTTATTAACAACTTCATCGTTTTCAATGGTTATTACTTCATTATCTTCTAAATCTTTATCTTTGTCCGCCATTTTTCCTGCTTTTCGGTAAACAAGTATAACAAGAATAAAATTCCGTGTAGAACCCTATTTTTGGTGCGAAAATCGATTTAAAAATTTTACCATTATCTGATGATCTTAATTTAGCCTATCAGATTGTCAAATTACCAACTTTTTCACAACCAAAAACCATGACAGAACACGAAATGCGAATTAATGAGGAAACTGCTACGACTGCCTCAAATCAACAAGTAACTAACACTGAAACAAATAATGATACGTCATTAACTTTATTTCACAGTTCTAGTATAATAGATCGTAAAAGTAAATTTGTAGCACATGCGAAAAAAGTTCTAAGTAAAGAAGGGGCGGAATCATTTTGGAGAGAAGTACAAGCAACTGAAAAGGGAGCAACGCATAATATATTAGCTTTTCGTATACAACTTTCTGATGGAACTATCATAGAAGAATATAATGACGATGGAGAAACTTACGCAGGAAATCGTGTATTAACATTGTTAAAAACATTAGACGCAAAAAATGTTGTAGTAGTAGTTACAAGATGGTTTGGAGGTCAATTGCTGGGTCCAATAAGATTTGATCATATTTTAAAATGTTCAAGAGAAGTTTTAGATAAGGGATCATTAATCAATACAAATAAACCTTTGACAAGTATTAATAAACGTGTTGGATATTCTACGAATTCTATTATTGTTAACGGATGTCAAGTATTTATATCCAAGAAAGATTTTCTTTTTAGCTATCATTAAGAGAGGTTAATTCTGATTATTATATGTATTCTTCTCTCTTTTGTAGAGAGGAAATCCTGTATTACAATTTATACGTAATGTACCTTGGGAATTTGGTGACATTGTTCCTGATTACGTAGTAGGTCAAACAACTTGTGCTTTATTCTTAAGGTACATCAAAAAATTGTAAAGTTCATTGATTTAACGCTTCATAAATGAATTTATGCGATTTTAAAATCTACTTTAGTCTTAGATATCATCGACTTCATCCTGAATATATTTACAATAGAATGGATAAATTAGTACATTCATATGTATTAAGGATATTATTAGTTCTTGTTGATACAGTAAGGATTGTCTAATAATTTATTTCTAAAATTAAACTTTCTTCTCTAATTTTTCATGTTTTTATGTTTTTTAACAGGATAGTCATAAAGAATCTATAAGAGAACTTACAAAGATATGTGTTATAAATAATTTTACAATGATATTATCTTGGAGGTAATTGATTTAATTTCTTATCTTAAATGTAAAGATATAAGGTAAAAAATTTTTTATTTATAGTTCAGAAGAAGCTGGTAGATATTTAGAAACTTATAAAGTCTTTGAGCACAAACCGCCTGATTTGATTATGGAAAAAATAGAAAATGATTATTTATCAAAAGTAAGTATATTCAAATTCAAATATTATATTTAACTAATTTACTAAAATTACTAAAATTGAATTTTTATTTATATATCATTTGAAAGCTAACACATTGTATGACACAAATTAGATTTGTTAACAAGACAGATGTAGTTACTCTCGCATCCACATTTGGAGTATGTATTATTATCAATTACATACTATTAATGAGCGTATATTAAAATTATATCTCCAAATACTTGTAACTATAGTCCTTAAAAAATATTATGGAAGCCACACCAGAAGATATGTCGATCTGTCCAGGAATTGGCGAACAAAAGGTAATAAATGGATTGAACAATAAAAACAATAAAAAGATTATTATTAAATATTCTGTATTTATTTAGGTAAAGAAAATACAAGATGCTTTTGAACAACCATTTTCTGTATTAAAAAAACTTAATAGTAGTAGTAAACATAAAGAAAAAGAAATAGTATTGAATGATGAACAAGATATTTTATAATTTATAATATAATAGCAAACCAAATTTACATTAAATGAACAGAATATAATATATCTTGAATTAAATATGCATATGCATTAAGTTAAATTTGCATTAATAATTAAATCAAAATGAAAAATAATCCTATACCATTTCTTTCTTATTTTTTGAACAAATATCAATACAATTTTATTTTATATTATTGCTTGACTAACTGTACAACATCTTCATCGTTAAGTACATGGGTTAATCCAACTTTTTGTGGTTGATGTTTAGCTGAGCTTCCCCATACCAATGCACTATTAAAAAAAAATTGTTTAAAAATTCATAAAAAAAAGGTTTTTAAAATTTCCATCATTAATTACTTACTATTTAAATTGTTTGACAATTCCTTTATGAATACTGTTGCAAAAATCTTCAACTGTGCGTTGATTTTGTCTTAATACAACTGGTGCACTATAATCTGGTAATTGACCTTTTGGTTTCGTGTAACTAAAAGTGAAAGAAAAAACAATACGTGAATAATTAAATAAATTAATGAAATGTAGTATTTTATTACTTACATTCTAATTAAATCAAGATATTCCCACGTTTTATCTAATAACTCATCAAAATTCCATTCATGATGAGCTGAAATAGGAACTGCATGTGGAATTTTATAAATCAAATCTAATTCTTCAATACTAATTTGATCGATCTACATAAACTTTCTTTAGTATAAGTTTGAATAAAAATCTTCCTTAATCCATTAGAGACAGTGTACCTTATTAAGAACATATATAGCAGGTATATAAATCCTTCCCTCAATCACATCAATTAAATCATCAACAGTAGCATCACATTTAAAATTAACATCAGCATTGTGAATTCTATATTCACTCAATACAGCTTTGACTTGATCCAAATCTAGATTAGTTAAGGGTACTGTATTAGTCATATTAATACCACCTTTATCCTTTTTCTTAAAATAAATATTTGGTGGCTGTTTATTCAATCTTATCCCAAATCCTTCTAATTCTGTTTCGATGATTTTTTTATGTGTAAGCGGTTTCAATACATCTAGAACCAAAAAGATCAATGAACATGTTCGTGCTACTGCAATTACTTGACGGCCTCTACCACGACCGTCTTTAGCTCCTTCTACTATACCGGGTAAATCTAATATTTGAATTTTTGCTCCTTTGTATTGTAATACTCCTGGTACTGTTGTTAATGTTGTAAATTCATAAGCTGCTACTGCTGAAAATGTTCCCGTTAATTTAGACATTAATGTAGATTTCCCTACTGATGGAAATCCAACAAATCCTATTCTTGCAACTCCCGTCTTTGCTACGTCAAAACCGACTACACAAATAAAACAAAGGGTATTAATTGGTAGAAAATGTATTTACAAAAACATGCTTTTTAGGTAATAAATATTCCTCACTCTGATTGTTGATAATAACGTACCACCACCCCCTCCTCCGCTTCCTCCTTGAGGTGTCATAAGTTCTTTACGTAATTTAGCTAACTTAGCTTTCAAAGTACCTAGATGGTACGATGTAGCTTTATTCTTTTGTGTACGTGCCATTTCGGCTTCAACTTTTCAATAGTATTCCAAAAAAAAAAAAAATATCAATAGCTAAAACACTAACCATTTTTAAGCAATGAAAATTAAAATATAAAAATTAATAATAAAATGATACCAACTTTCTTTAATCTTGTCAACGATCGATGACATTTTCCTAATTTTCCGCTAAAAAACAAAAGTATATTAATTTAAATTCTTCACGATAATCGTAAATTTATATCTTGATGTGATAAATGAGATATTTCCTATTTCTGGTCGGCATTACGGCGTTACAAATATTATACGTCTTGTTAAGCATCACGTGATATTTTATAATTTAAATAACATCCGGGAATTTACCGTATTTTATTGAAATTAAGCACCCCTCGAAAATAAGCACCCCACTCAAACTTTTTTATGCAAAAGTTATATATATTTCTAATAAAAATAATATCAAAATAAGCACCACCCCCAAAATTTTCGTCCAAAACTCTAAAATTTGTTTCAATCCGCTGACTTTTTCAAATTGTATCACAAGTCTATTTTTACTTCTTCTTAATATGCAAGTCTGACTCCTCATCTCCAAAATCATCATATAGGTATTAAAGTATTTTGACAACTCGAGCTTGATTGACTTTTATATTAAATTGGTTATCAGTAACAAAATAATCAGACTGCATTAACTTCGATTGAAAATTCTTAGTTTTCGCCTTTTGCATTGTAAAAAAAAGAGAACCAGAGTTAATGAGCTATTAGTTCATATTCTCCAACTATCTTAACATTCCTAAAATAAAGTTAGCCAACTTTTATAAAAATAACGTGTTACATTAAAAAATGTCAAACATTAACATGCCAAAAAGTAGTATCAATGTTTATTTGAAAGGATACCTTATCGTTTTTAAGGCTCTTGTAACATCATCTACTTAACAATTTCTTTATTATGTTCCAGATATTTGTATGAAAATTTGATCCAAGCTCAATACCTTCGATAATAACTTTGCATTTGGGAGAAATCAGATTCGACTTTGTGCGGAATTCACCAAAGTAACCCGACGTTGTGATTGATCCATTATCGTTATTATAATTTTATTAATTTTATTTATCAAGCTAGTAATAGTTAATAATTTGGCTTTTTTCTATTTCAACGCACTTATATCCATGTGACCTTGTAATGTATTTATTAAAAATATAATTTCCAATCCGCACTATTTATCTTAGTTTACACCAGGCTTTTTTGAATAAATTACTAGAATTTATTTTATGGAAGTAAATTTGATTTTTTTTCGGCATTTTCTAATGCCATAGCACTGAATATAAATGAAACTATTCACAAGTAGTGGGATCCCAACCTAAAACAAACAAACTTTTACTTAACAAGAAATTATGTTGTATTCTAGTAATATGGAACTACCTTACCTGTGGTTAAATATTCATCCAAATCATCAAGGATCTTCATATCCTCTTCTCTAATTTCAAAATCATATACATCAGTGTTTTGAATTATACGATCTTTATTAATACTTTTTGGTAAAGTAACAAATCCATGTTGAAGTCCCTTTAATCGAGAAAGAAATAATTAATATAACTATACATTATTTTGGTAAGTGTCAGCTGAATATTTACCCAACGAATCAAAATCTGGGCAGAAGATTTATTATATCTTTCGGCTATTTGTACCAAAGTAGGATCCTTTAACTTTTTTCCCTTGGTAAGTGGAGAATAAGCTTCTACAACAATGTCGTTTTGTAAACAAAACGTCGTAATGTCATTTCTCGTCAACCAAGGATGAATCTAAAGAACTTCACAATTAATATTTCAAAATAAAATAAGCTTATGAAGTTAAAATTACCTCAACTTGATTAACGGTAGGCTTGATCTCCGGTTTCTGTTCTAGCAATTCTTTTAAATGTTTAACACTATAATTTGATACACCAATACTCTTAACTTTACCCAATCTAACCAATTGTTGTAAAGCATCATAACTTTCTTTACGCAATTGAGAACCCCGTAATGGCGAATGTAAAATTAATAAATCAATATATTCTGATTGTAGTTTTTCTAGAGATCTTTCGGCTGCTTGTAATGTTTTTTCATATCCTTGATCTGAATCCCAGATTTTTGTCGTAATCCATATTTCTTCTCGTGGAATTCCACTATTAAATTAGACAATGGCTCATGAATAAACGTAAAAATTAGATTGACAGGAGAATGATTAACTAATAGGAAACCTTTTATTAACAGCAATTCCTACATCAGCTTCATTTTTGTATAAAGCCGCAGTATCGATATGCCTGTATCCAGCCTACATATATAATGAAATTAGATTGAACTTGCCAAAATTTGTCAAAATATTAATGATTTATTACCTCCAAGGCCCATGTAACAGCATTCTGAGTAGTGTCGCCTTTAGGTGCTTGATACACACCCAATCCTATTTGTATCTTAAAATTTTAATTGCTGCGTCAATAAATTAACAAATAATGAATCCGATACATGCCTATTAAAGGAATTTTGCGACCATCATTAAGAGTAGCTGTAGAAGAAAGCGTTAATTTGGCTGTTTCAGCCATTCTTTTAATAATTTGATAACGTGAAATTTTGATTATAAAAAATAAAAAAATTAAAATAAAATTTTTTTAGGAACGAATATAGCCACCCAAAAAATGGTAGCCAGATCTAATTTGCCGGTTACACGTGATTTCGGATAATGATTTTTGGTATTTTCGACCATTGTAACAATTTTCAATATTTATACACATCTCAATTGTCAGAATTTTATTAAAGCACAACAGACGTATAAACATGTTTCTGAAAGTTTAATACTACTATTCCCAAATCCCAATACCTTGTATTCTTATTAAAATCTTTCCAAGTTCTCGGCATAGTTTTACGATTTTCAAGAGTTAAAATTAGAACAAACATTTTTAACCGTTTTGGCTTGTTACGTGATTCTTTAATAATTCTTAATTAATATTTACATCAATAAAAAATTATATCATAATATTCGTGTATATCTATTTAATATTTCCTGCAAATAGTCTTTATATTATTTCGGCAACGTAAACACTTTTTTAAAGCAACATCTTTTATATTCAGAAACTCTTCAAACATGACACCCTTTACAGACTTTTGTTTTGCTGGCTTGACATAATCAAATAAAAAACAGTTCATTTCCGAAATCATGTGTAACCCGGAAATTTGATCCGGCTACCATTTTTCGGAGTATTCTATCATGTAATCATGTGAAATAAAATGTTTTACAAGCACAACATTCTAGTGCCGAGTTTAATTATCAAATTAAAATTTTCTACATATAAATTTTTCTTTCAGATAATATTTCTCTAAACCCATGATGAGAAAAAAGTACAAAACAAAATTTCCGGTGGCAAGTATATTCAATTTGTAGATCAAGTCTTAAATATTTTCTTTTATAATTTTCTCTCACTTTTATTACTTAAATTATATTACTTAAATTATATTACTTAAATTATATTACATGAAGGCCCGGATTAAGAAGATCATGCAAATGGACGAAGATGTAGGAAAAGTTGCTCAAGCCACACCGGTCTTAATTTGTGAGTTGTAAATTCTGCTTTATTTAAGAGTTTTTGGATACTAAATATAATCTTTTTTAATACACAATATAACTTTCTATAGCCAAAGCATTGGAATTGTTTATGCAATCACTAATAGATCATGCATGCCAAGAAACGAGAGCCAGGAATGCAAAACGGATGTCTGTTTCGCATTTGTAAGCAAAAGATTTTTTATTTCACAATTTAATATAATCGTATATGTCATGGTTAATTTACTTATGCGCTCTTGCCGATCTACTATTTACTTGGAATTTTATATAGAAAGAAGACTATTATGACAACAGAACAATTCGATTTTCTGAAAGATGTTGTCGCTAATATACCGGATCCCGTAGAAACTGGAGATGTAGAAGCTTCTTCTTCTGCCGCGACTACTGGTATTATCAGTAATATGGAAGGCATTCTGAGTGGAGACGAAGCAGAACCATCCGCGCCTGTACAAATAAAAAAGAGAAGGGGTCGAAAAAGGTAAGTAATATGCAATTATTTAATTAACTGAATAAAATGATTGTGCATCGCTTAAAAAAATGGGTTATTACAATAGAAATGCAGAAGAAGAAGAATATGAAGGCATTACATCAACATCAACATCAACATCAACAAATCCACTGAAAACAAGGAAGAGGTTAGTGATATTTAACAATTATGTTAATATTTGAATTTATTAAATGGCTGATGTGAATTTACCCTAATAGTACTAGGAAGCGGAAAGAAGTTAGTGAGGCGGATGTCTAGATTTCTTATATAGCATTTTGTTAATAGAATGTTTTATAAATAACAAATGAAAATCTATTAAGAGGAAAGGGAATCATTGTAAAAACAGTATACACATATACGATCTAATGATTAAGATACCTTTTTACCTTCTTAGCATTATTTCATTGATATAATACAAATAAGCATTTTTTCAAAATTTGCACACACTAGAATAGTACAACTATTTTAGCTTTTTTTCATAAAGGTTAGATAATAATTCAGTTTGTTGATAACAACTTATTTTATAGGTGTTCAGAGTTACCTACACGATATTAATAATATATGTAATAAATAGTATCATGGAGTATTTGAGATAAATATTAATAAATTATTATTTCAATTTTGCCTACCATATAGAGATGACTAATACACACCATTTTATATCTTCAATATGATCATTATAACAGGTTAATCTCTTTCTACACTATCAACGAACTTACTCAAATGTCGGGATGCTCTCCAGGATGGATCAATTATTTCAGGCTCAGTATCATATGACCTAGCATCTACCTAAGTTCATGTTTTTTTTGAAATTTGAACATGCACCTATCACATGACAAAAAGAACACTAAGCATGCAGATCGTTATTCTGTTGTAGCTGTTCATAGTTGTAAAAACAAAAAAACTCTAGGACTCGGGGAAACACTCTTCCTTCGGTTCTACAGGAAAGAAGAGAGGCAGACTACCGAATTTCAATTATTATGACATGGAGTGTTGTGAGTATCCTTTGGACTAATTTCCATCGAAGCATCAGTGAAATAACAGTCAGATATCATGAAAAGTCAGAAACAAAATAAATACAACCAATAGTAGAATTGCGTCGACAACGTATAACATATTCAAGAGATATTTTAAATGCGTCACTTCGTGCCTAATACCAATGAATAGGCATGGGGAATTGCTCTGGATCGGCGCTCTGGGAGGTTTGGAGTTGATAACTGAAATCCCATCAGAGAAATGTCGTCTTGTACACGCGCATTTTTGTTCTACCTAAGAATCCAAGGATGCAATTGATAACCAGAGCAATGTCTCAAGTGTCACCATGCGAAAAACATGATGGTTTCCATCAAGTTACAACAATACACCATCTTTGTCGATATGTTAAGAATAAATTTATTAATACAATATTGAAATTATTTATCATTGATATTGATAGTGATAGTGACCAAGAGAATATTGTAAGTGTTGCAAATTATATGAAGTTGACTATGGGATAGTTATCATAAGCGTTTTTTCGATGTGTGATGATATTCACACTCGAGAGTTCTCTTGAATAAATGAAAACATTTCAGTGAAGGGAAAGGACTGACATTCGTAGAGAATGAGAATTGTATGCGATATGTTACGAAATCTCAACGTATTTAGTTGCTAAATTTTTTTGCTGCAAAATAATTAGTTGGTTAGATTCTGCATTTTAAACTAATAACTGTTAATCTTTACGGTGTGGTTCATAATTATAAAGAAATTAAAGTACGTTTTATATAAATAAAAATCAATATTATATAGATTTTCTAACATTATACTTCAATATCAAAATAAGTTTTGTCACTCATCCATTTAATTCATTTCTTTAACTGACTTTTAGTTTTTAATCTAACAAAGCTTTCCAGTTGAAGTCCATAATATTTACTTCATACATTGAATCTATTAGACACCAATAACCCATCCTTTTTCATTTTCCTTTGGCTCAACAATATTAGATATGACAATTTCATCCATACAAGCCATACGAATTCTTTCCGGTGTAGCAGGAGATCTCAACACTACAGTTTCATTATTACCATTCGTTTTTCTATTTTTATAATTGTAGTCAAAAACATTAAATGAAAAATATATATATATATATATTTAAGTATATAACATACCTTGCAAATTTAATGGCATCCCGAATAGCGAAGAATACGGAACTTCCCAAAAATAAAGGAGGTTCACCTACACCTTTACTACTATGTATAGTTTTCAAATTTGGATATTCACCGTCTCTAAAAGTTGTAACTCTGAAATCTTGAGGAATATCCCTATTAATAATTAAACAAATAATAATTCTCATTAAATATACATAATATAAAGTTTAAATCAACATCTATCCTCACCTAAATCCAGGTAATTTATAATTTCCAGGTCCTTTAGTAAATATGTGACCATTAGGTAAGAATAAAGATTCTTCGATTGTACACCAACCAACACCTTGTATAAAGGCACCTTCAATTTGTCCAACATCAATAGCATAGTTCAAACTTCTACCAATATCCATTATTAGATCAGTCCTTAGTATTGTATGATCCCCTGTTAATACATCAATTTCAACTTCTGTACAAGCCGCACCCGTCGTAAAGTAAAGGAACATTTGTCCTTCATTTTTATCCCAATCATATCCTATATCTGGTGTTTTATAAAATCCATTTGCTGATAAATTTACTCTATCTAAATATGCTGCTTTAACAATCTAAAAATATCAAAAGAAATGAAAAGATAAAATCGCAAAAATTAAATGATTGTTTATTTCGAAAAATTATAACAAACAAATTATTAACCTCTTTGAAACTTTTATCGGGCATTTTTTCTCGGTATGGTTTTAATCTTTCTGATAAAACTTTACAGGCATTTAACACGGCATATCCATTAATATCACTACTAACACTGGCTGCCGTAGATGATGTATTTATAACTACATTTGTAGCCGTCTCCATTAAGTGGACTTTTTAATTTGGATTTTGAGGAGTTAAAAAGAATGAAATTAAATCAACGTGAAATATATAGTGAAATACGGACCATCATTTAAAGAAACATCCAAAGCCTCGGCTGCAACTTGTAACATTTTTGTATGAAGTCCTTGTCCCATCTCAACTCCACCTAATGATTTAAGTAAAATGTTTTTTAGCATAAACATCTTACTTCATCTTTCTTCTCTATAGTCTCTATAGCTTACCATGACTAACGAGTATGCTCCCATCTATATAAATATGTACAAGAGCACCAGCTTGATTTAAATGTAAAGCGGTGAAGGACAAACCGAATTTTGTTGGTATTAAACTTAATCCTCTTTTTCTCCATTTATGTTTTTCGTTAAATTCATTAATCTCTTGACGCCGTCTTACATATTCGCTTGATATCTTAACTTGTTCATACATTGAAGGTATGTGCCAATCATTTAATTTCATATTAAAATGAGTTAATTGCCCCTCGCTATAAAAATTCTTTTCCTGTTAATTAATACATGAGAAGATTTGTATATAAAACTAGTCAATACTTCAGCGATATATCATTGAAATACACCAATGAAGAACATAATTCACATTTATGTTCTATCTAAAGACTCGAACTCACTCTAAATTCAACGACATCAGTTCCTAATTTATCGGCAACTTCACTAATAATGTTTTCGGTGATCATCATTCCTTGTGGTCCACCAAATCCACGAAAAGCAGTATTTGAATGTGTGTTAGTTTTACACATTTTACCAATTATTCTTATATTTGGTATATAATAACAATTATCTGAATGCGTAATTGCTCTTTCCAATACTGCCGATGATAAATCTGCAGACCATCCCGCATTATTATATATCTAAATATTTTAAGTTCGGAGTTTAGCTTAAGTTTAGTTTATACCTATTAATCTGATAATTTTAATTACCCTTAAGTCTAACGCCTGTAACTTTCCATCATCGTTAACTCCAACTTTCCATTTTCCAAGGAATGGATGACGTTGACCGCTAATAATTATGTCTTCATCCCTATCTAACATACATCTAATAGGACGTTTCAGATGATAAGCTCCAACCATTAAAGCCAAGGTTAATGGTATACTACGAGTTTCCTTGCCGCCAAAACCACCTCCTAGCCTTTTTACTTTACATACAATTTTATTTGCAGCGATACCTAATACTGATGCTCCAATGATTTGTGTTTCTGTTAGATTTTGCGTTGAAGCGTGAACTTCAAATTCGTTATCTTCGCTTTTCGGTATTACGAGTGATGCATTTGTTTCTAAATAGAAGTGCTCTGAAATGATACAAAAAGGAAAGTCAAAAGATATATTTGTTATAATTATTTTTACTTATAAAGCCCATACATTGAAAATTGAATAAAATTTCAGTAAATTACCTTGCCCACCAATTCTAGTTTCACCTTCAAATACATGATCAGAATGTCGAAAAGCTTCATCAACATCACCTTTAATCATTTTTCTTTCAATATTAAAAAAGCTATTTTGATCAATAGCTTCTTCAATAGTGAGTATATGAGGTAATTTTTCATATTTGACTTCAACTAATAGAGCGGCTTCTTGTGCGATAGCTTTACTCTCAGCTACTATCAATCCAATAATTTGTCCTACACATTGTGCTTCCTCACTAACAAATACTTCTTCATCATGGAAAATTGGACCCCATTTATTTTCACCTGGAACATCTTTTGCAGTAAAAAATCCTTTAACCTCTGATATAGCTAATGCTTTACTTGCATCAACACTTCAATAGTTAAATTGAAGGAAAGAATAATTAAATAAAATTATTACTGAATATATATAAATATATACGTATGCCATACCTCAGTATTTTTGCATGAGCATTTTGTGATAAAACAAGAGCACCATATAATTCATCATGCACTTTAGGCAAATCATCAGTATAAATAGCTTCACCGGTAACTTGCTTCATAGCCGATAAATGTGGTATTTCTTTGCCAACTATTTTCTTGTTAATCTCTTTAAATCCAACAGTTTGCACTCCTTTAGATACATTCCTTTCAATTATGCCAATAAAATCATCTATGTCATTATCAATATATTCTTCTGTTAATATGAATACATTCTTACATACGTCGTACCAAAATTTATATATAAACCCTGATACCAATGATTTTCTATATGATGCCATTCCGCCTGGTACATCGAAACTTAATTGTAACTCCTAATATGAAATAATGAGAGTTTATTCCTTGTAAATATACTTTTAACGTAATAATAAAATAAAATAAAATAAATATAACAAACCTCTCCCAGCTTATTAAGTAATTTTTTTAACACATTTTTATCTCCCCATTTTTTTCCAATTAGCCATTCTTCACTTAGCGGAGCTCTAACACTAACGCTTCTCATACCACCAAATCCAAACCCGACATCTTTTACAACATCCTCATTATCCAAATGTACCATTAATCCAGCATTAACAATTGCAATATCATCATCACGTCTTTTTGATTGTTTATATGCTCTAACAAATTGTCGTTCTTTACTTAATGGTATAAAGATTTTCGTTATAATTTCTGTTGATGTACAAGTATTTTGTCTATATCCTGTCCAAAATTCCTTAGCCAAAACTTTTCGATCAACACAATTAAAATTATTCGAGAAGGATGTGTCATAAGGCATTTCCTTATGACGAGATAATGTGAATATACATGAAGCTGATAAAAATATCGGATTTAAATCAGATATAGGGGATCCAGTTATTATATTTCCTGCTGGTGTTGCTACATTGCGTATTTGATGACCTGCAAACCATCTTAAATTAGCTAATATTGCCCTAAATGTTTCTACTTGATATTCCTAACAACAAAAGATGAAAAAAAGTATTAATATTATTAAAAGAGGGACTTCTATAGTGTAGATTCATCTATACCTTGTAATGTTTACTGGCCTTTTGTAATATCTCTTGAAATTGTGCTAATGTTGTATTAGCTCCAATAATCAATCCATCATCTATCAAAACAAAAAATAATACATTACACTAACACTTTTTTAATAAAGCTTTCTAAAAAAATTTCTCACCTGTAAATTCGTAACCCCTTAATTCGTTTAAATCCCCAACAAAAATTAAAATATTATAATTTATTTTTTTAAATTTCACCTCAATACCAACTTCAGAATTACCACTAACTAATTTCCCTTGAGGATATTTTAATTTAAGTAATAATAGTTCATTTAAACTATTTGGCTTAAACCATTTTGTTTTTCTACCTGAAAAATATAACGGGTAGGGTTTATATGATGATATTAACGCTGGTGGAAATATTAATTCCTGTGTCGCATCATATTGTTTAAACTTAATCTAAAAAAAAAGAAAAGAAATTATTAGAAATACTAAATATAAAATTCTCATGTTAATATCTTACATTCTTACTTGAGGAAATTTATGATCAATTATAGAGGAAAAGTTGGAATTATTAAATTTACAACAATCTTCTCTTCCGCATCCCTATAAACAAAATTCTAAATTACAATGACATTTGAATTATTTTTATATTTCACTTTTCTTACTCACTCTTACACTATTTTGTTTTATACCATCACTTTTTTTATCTACGTCATTATTGCAACATTTATTCGTGGGTTTGGCAAACTAATATCGATATTTTAAAATCAAACCAACATACGTTATTAAGAAAGAAATCCTAACAAAATCCATGAACATAAATATAAAAATAACCTTACAGTCTTAGCAGCATCAAGAATAGGTCTGTATCCTGTACACCTACATAAATTACCATCAAAACATTCTTCAATTTCTTCTTCTGATGGATTTGGATTATTCCTAAGTAACGCATAAAGTGACATCGCTATTCCTGGTGTACAAAATCCACATTGTGATCTATTATAATTTAAAATTTTAAGCTGTAAGTGATAAATTATTTGGATAAAAAAAAATAATAAATCAAATTAAATACCCGTGTAACAAAGCTATTCTTTCCTAAAAGAGCCATCCGATAGAAATGCAAAATTTATTGAATATGTAGATTTGAAATTAAATCAAATATCAACATCTTTACCGATTAATTTACCGTACCTGAACAGGATGTGGATTCTTCACATTTCCAATTCCTTCTATTGTTATTACATGCTTACCATCAACTGAACATAACGGTGCTAAACATGCGTTTACTGAATAATGTGATATCCTTTGATTCGTTGGATCATACGATGAAATTAATACTGTGCAGGCACCTATTTATTGTCGGAACATGTATAAAATGAAATAAATGAAAACGAAAGGAGCATGCTTGTAAATACTTACCACAACCACCTTCAGCGCAACCTAATTTCGTTCTAGAAAATGAAATATTAAGGAATTTTTAATTAAAATGATTTTTTCTTTGTTGTAGATAAGTTGCATTTACCCAGTTAAGCCGATACTTCGAACATATTCTAATAAGGTAATATCAGGATCAGGGTTATCTATTTCTACAAAAGCTCCATTTAAATAAAATCTTAATTTTTTAAAAAATTTAATATTATTTTCAGTAATAAAATCTTCTTCCTCAACGTTAAAAGTTTGAGTTTTTCCGTCAATAATCAACTTATTCATTTTATATCAAATATCAAGTTTAAGTTGAAATAAAGGAAAAAACGTGTATATATATATATTATATATGATATGAAATAAAAAGCGACGATCTTACGATCTTAATCAAGGTTAAATTTTCTTTGTAATACAATTTTACTTTAATTAATTTTTAGGGATATAGACAGGTTTATCAGGATAAGCAATATTCAAAGCAGTTCGAAGAACGTATTGTAAATCAAATAAATTAATAGGTTCATCATAAAAAGTTAAAACATCATTAATTCTTTCAAATTCATGATCGTGATAAGGTTTTCTACATAAACTTCCACCCTGTTTTAATGCAGAAAATATTCCACATTGTGTACAGATAAATATATCGCAGGTTTTAATAAAATAAGAAAATCCCCATAAACCCGATAAAAAATGATTTAAATGAATCGATAGTCTAAAAAAAAATTTTAGTTTTTCATCGAAAAATGCATATAATGTACATATTATAGTGAAAAAATTATTAACATCACTTAACTCATTATATCTTTCAGCATAAACTTTTGATAATGTATTCAAAGAGACTTTTGCTTTGATAAAAACTTCAACATTATCAATTTCACGATTTTTATGAGGAATTTGTGGAAGATAAGCTTCATCAGAAATCCATTGATTAGTTTGATAACAGAGGTCAGCAATTTTTGAACTTGAAGAAAGTCGATTACAATTTACACATTTATAAACTGCACAATAATGAAGTCTCTTTGGGAGATCATTAAGGAATTGTGTATATTGTAAAAGTGTGTTATTTTTTATATAATACTCTGAGCGAAATTATAAAAAGTTAAATTTAAAGAAAAGAAAAGAAAAGAAAAGCAAATCCATTTCAAGCACGCACCATCAATTTTAATGTATCTTGCCCACTCAGCCTTACCAAAATGTCTACAATAAAAATCTCGCTTAACCAAGGGAATATCATCAGAAAATAAATCCCACTTTTTCGATAATCTATTCGGACGATGATTATCCACACAACTTTTAAGTATTTCAAATAAATTCAATAAATCGAATTCAATTTCCTTCATTTGATTCAAACTCGAGAGAACACTACAATGATTATGACTTGGATTTCGATAACCAGCGTGTTCAGAAGTAGCGGATAATGTATCACAGCGTTTACATATATAAACTTTATGTTTTTCCAAGAAGTTATCCATGGATTGACTAAAGTCTTCGAAACTCATCCCTACTCTTTATAATAACGAAGAAAATTTTCTATGGGCTTATAATATAACATTCAAAAATTGAGAATTCTTTCATTCACTTACTCATTGAAGAGAACTGATAATGTTGTTAAGTCTAACTTAGTATCTCGAAGAGCATCAACTGTTAAAATCCGTTCAACCTGATGAGAATATTTTATTCTGTAGCATTCATCTGCGTTACCAGGTGGAATTGTAATTTTTCGACATCTAATACAATGATTCAATACAAGTGATGTTTTCTTTTTCAATAAAGAAGGGAGTTCTTCCAAGAATCGATTAAACTCATCTAACGTTCTTGAATTTCTTTTATAATCTTCAGCCCTAATATCTATAAACGCGTGGAAACAATCAGCAAGATTACTATTACAAGACATTTAAAGTTAATTGATAATAATCATTTAAAATTCGCATACATTCATTATCAAACAAAATAGCCCACTGTTCATCGTCCATTTCATTTGAAAACAAAAAAAAAGTTTTCAAGAAGCTAATAAGATCTTGATCGGGTGTGTAATCTATAAAACGAGAGATTTACAAAGCCACAACATGTATTTTCTTGCTTTATTAAAGCTTGTCATCAAACAATTGGTCCGTAAAAAACCACACTAATTTCACTATAAATTATACAAAAATGATAGCTTCAAATCAGAAACTGTACAGTGCCGCAGATTTATTAATATAAAATGTCTCAAGATCATTTTAAATTTAACATGTGTGGGACTTAAACTTAATTTATATCAAAATTTTTGAATAATCAGATACTAATCAGTTTAATTAGTTTATCATTTTTTCAATTTACCAAAGGAATAATCTTTTAGATCCTTTCAGAATCAACATTATTACACAACAGTTTATTCAAATTCATTTTGTCAGAATTTTGCCTGGGTGGTCTACCATATAAAGTATAATCGCGGACAATGACGATCAGTCTTACACGAACTGCAGAAATCTAAAGATCTTTATGTTGTACGTCATGCAACAAATATTTAAGCTTAGAATCTTTTTGAAAGGTTTTCAAAGAATGGATATCGAAGAATTCCGTAAAAGAGGGTACGAAACCGTTGATAGAATTTGTAAATATTATCAGGAGCTTGAAAACTATGAAGGTAAATTATATTATTTACAAAAAATTGAATGGTCAAGAGGTTCATTGCTATTTTTTTTTGAAAAGTTTTATCAAAGGTAGAACCGGGTTACCTTAAAAAAGTTCTTCCGAAGGAAGCACCAGAAGGTATTTATTTTCTACATTTTAAATAATACCGAATGAAATTTATCGATTTTGTTTCAATTTTAACTTAGAACCTGAACCATGGGAGAATATTCAATGTGACATTGAAACGAAAATTATCCCAGGGAGTTTGTTATTGTTTCTTTTTTTACATTTATTTTTTTATATACATATATTTCAATTATTAATTAAAAGAAAAAACAAATTAAATCGATGTTAAATTAGTTACACATTGGCAAAGTCCCAATTTTTTTGCCTTTTATCCTGCTAACTCCTCTTTTCCAAGTATATTGGGAGATATGTATTCTGATATGTTTAATGTCATTGGATTCAATGTAAGGTGATAATCTATTACATAATTTCCTCAATATAGTAACTCAATAAAATTAAATATGATCTTTAAGTGGCTAAGTTCTCCTGCTTGCACCGAACTTGAGTCAGTCGTTCTTGATTGGATGGGAAAACTTGTCGGATTGGATCAAAAATTTCATAGTGATGGAAGGGGCGGGGGCGTGATCCAAGGAACTGCTAGTGAAGCAACTTTAGTGACTTTACTTGCTGCTAAGTATCGAATGTTAGAAGAATATAAAGCAAAAGGCGCAGACGAGGAAAAATTACGTACTCTTTCAACTCGTTTAATTGCCTATGGTTCAGATCAGGTTAATAAAGGAAAAATTTATTCTCTAAAATTTCTTCTCGAGTTTAAATTTTTTTTTTTCGAAAATTTCGTCGTTTAATAGACGCACATTTGTTTAAAAAAAGCAACAATGATTGCAAATATACTTTTTCGTGCACTTCCTACTGATGATAATTTTTCACTTTGCGGGGAAACTGTGAAACAAGAAATGGAAAAGGATATCACTAATGGATTAATCCCCTTTTTCATTGTTGGAACAATTGGAACAACTAATTCCGCAGCAATTGACAAAATAACAGATATCGTGGATGCAAGTAAGTACGTCTGAACAAGGATTAATTAAAAGATAGATTTTTTTTTTAATTCAGGATTTTATTATTTAGTTAAGGGTACAAACGTTTGGTTACATATCGATGCTGCATATGCTGGTTCTGCTCTTATCTGCCCTGAATATAAATATTTGCTTGAAGGAATAAATCAAGCAGATTCGTTTGATCTTAATATGCATAAGGGATTACTAACTAATTTCGATTGTTCTTGTTTATGGTAAATAGCTTTCTGAAAGTGATTTAGTCATTTAGTACAGCGTTTATTTAGTATATAATCATAAAATGGTTGTTTTAGGATAAAAGAAAGAAAGTATCTTATAAATGCATTATCAATCACTCCAGATATTTTAAAAAATTCTGTTAGTGAAAGCGGAATGGTTTTAGATTTTAGAGATTGGCAGATCTCACGTAAGTACTTAATGTGAGTTTAATTTAATACTTTCTTTTAACTCTTGATTTTATTTTAAAGTTGGAAGAAGGTTTAGAGCTTTAAAAATTTGGTTTGTTATAAGAACATATGGTGCAAAAGGATTAAGAGAACATGTTATGAAGGTAAATTATTATTATCTGGCTACTAATTAGCATTTTCATCATTTATAAACTAGTGGAAATGCCAATTAGTATATCTAGTAAATTTTTTTTTTTTTCAAAAAAAAAAAGTTTCTAATTTAAATAAATTTTTAGACACATAAACTCGCAAACCGATTTCGAAGTAAAATCCAACAATATCCTGATTTATTTATAATTCCAACAACTCCAAATTTCGGATTGGTTAACTTTTATGTTAAATCAAATGATTCATTGAAAAATTCAAATAAATTAACAGAAATGGTTTCTAATAGGCTGAATGAGAGTGGTAAAATATATCTAACACAAACAAAAATGAGAGAACAATATATAATAAGATTTGCTCCTGGCTCTCCACTAACTACAGAAAAACATATTGATCAAGCTTTTGAATTATTATTAAAAATTACACAAGAAGTTACTGTAAATTATAATTAGTAACATTAAACTTAAATGAGATCCTTAAAATATTATTTATGTAATCATGTACAGATGGTTATAATTTGTAGAAGTCAAAATAAATTGTCCTACACTATTAATGTAATTAATGTATGTATAATGTTATCTATTTCTTTATTTTTTCTGTATTTACTTTTATCTTAAATAGGATATGTTAAACAGGAGGTTGTTATTCCAGTCTTTTTGGTTCTAAAAGAGAAAGCTAAGTAGAGCATTTATTTTATTCTCTCACTACTAAAAAAAATTAATTCACCCTATTACTATCCAAAATTTTTCTATGAAAATTATAAAAAACGCTTTATACATGTACATTTTAACGAGCAAAAATACCGGGTATCTGAACCATCTCGGATGACATAATTGATTACAATAGTTATAATAAAAGTTAAATTGCTTGAGCTAAAAGATTAAGATAATGCCGATAATAAAAATTTAAAGTGCTACGAAATGATAAAATATATGTATAAAAAATTTTTTATAAGTTAATTAGTAGGGTTAAAATATATACGAGACTTTGAATTCGGAATGTTTTCAGGCCTGAGAAGCCTACAATTAAATGAAATGTACTAACAAAATTCAATAATAAAGAATTATATTTCGTTTAGTAACTTTTCATAGACACTATTAAATATCAGAAAGAATTAATCAAAATATTATAATTTTTAAATGCTAAATAATTTTAATGTAATTAATCATTCACGTGTAAAACACAAAAAATATGACTAGTTAGGAATTCAGAATCGACAATTAACTTACCCTTATTATCATTCAGATCTCAAAAAGTATATCCAGAAAGAATTTCGTCTAATGAAAGAATTCGAGATAAATTATTAATGTTATAAATAATGCTAATCGATCATAACAATTGCAACAACTACCTAAATCCATTTCATAATCATTATCATCATAATCCAAAACAATAGGATTAGCTAAACTTCCACCATCCAATTTCTCTTCATGATCATTATCCGTACAATGACTAACTCTTTTTGCAAGTGGAAGTTCAATATCGTCATCATCGCTGTCAATTTTCTCATAAAGCCAAGAACGCTTGTTTTTATTATTATTGGACGAATTATTTTTCGTACTTCCCATGCTACGTGCTGGAGATAGACGAGCATCTGGTTCCGAAGAAATAGCTTTATATTCATTTTCAAGACTTTCAAAAAGCGACGCTAAATTATTCTTAGCTTCAATATTATTTTTAATGTGACACAAATCCTTTACATCCCGATCAGAATCTATAATAATTACTCCGTCATCATCTTGATCTCGGGTGGACCCTTTTTTGGAATAAGATTCATTGTCTTTATTTTCTTTGTAAGTTTCAATGTTGTCGTCTTCTATCAACATATAAGAGAAATCATCATCTTGTATGGAGAATGGATCTACACCAGGAATAGAGTGCATTGAGTAGGAAACTTTAGATTCTGTATCTTTAAACTTAGAGTTAGGCCGAATTGGTGAAATATTTAAGTCCAATTCATTTGAAGATATTGATATATGAGAACAAGATATACTATTGGAGGATAGTCTATTATTAAAAGGTGCTTTTTCCTCAGAATCAGAGCGTATTGATGAAGCATTAAAAGAAGGTTCAATAAACGATGTCTTTTCTTCTGCTGGTGACGAGGATCTGAATGTTGGCCTTGCGGTTGATAATAATGTTGACGATTTCTTGAACGCTGGTTCTGTTGCTTCTTGATCATTATATAAAAAAGAAGCATTTGGTTGAGACAATGATTGTTTTTCTGCTGGCCCATTCCATAATGATGCTGTTTTAAAAGCTGGTTCATCATATAATGATTTTGAGGGAGGATTAGGTCGTATTAATGACGGCGTGCCAACATTAAATTGGTTTAATGGAACCTTAAAAGTTGGTTTGTTAAATGATGATATGGATGATGATACCGAATTCGATGGGTCCTCATTAGCGTTAGGTCGCGTTGAGCCGTTAAATAAAGGCACCAGTTGTGTTACAGAAATAGGTCGAATTGTGTTGTTAAATGACGATTCCGGTTGAAAATCTCTCGACATTGAATTAAGTTGCGTTGATTTATCAATTCCCGGCTCAGGACAGGATGATTTTCTTGCATTAGAATTATATCCTAATACTTCATTAAATGGAAGAACAGATCTTGGAGGTGGATGTGACGATTCTGCTTTGTGCAAAAACCTCTTCAATTTGGTAAGATCTGACATATATGGGACATCTTTAAAGATAACTCTAGCTAATCTACCACCCATATTAGGTTGAAAAGTTGACTGAATATCACACGGGTGTAGAGCATTATATGAAATTTGAGATTCATCTTCTACATTCTCATTTGTCGCCATTCTAAAAATCATGAAAAATTTCAATTTAAACCGGAAAAGAACAACTTTTAAATAATGATAACATACCCTAATAGTTCCATAAATGTTAATTTTAAATCTCCAAGCCTACGAGATGTCCACTCGAATCCTTCACAAACATATGTATTCTCTGGTGTGAGAAATAACATACCCTTGCTATATTTCACATTACTTATCAAAACCTACTTAAAATAACGCAAAAATGTTTAGAGGGATCCTTTTGATCCAATTTATAACTTTTCTTTTAAATCTACCTTTTTGCCGATAGGAGTGTGTAAACTAAGCTCAGAAACTTGTTTGTACTCCATTCCTCTAATTTGTTGCTGACCATCAGATAGAAGTAAATGTAGCATTTTTCTTGGAAATTCTAATTTTTTTTCCAACTCATCATCCTTCGCATTATTCACTTGCGAAGACTCAAATTCATTTAGAATTTGCAATAATTTATAAGTAGATATACCAACTTCAATACATTCAACTATTTCAAGTAATATAGGACCATTTTGAGCAATATAACCATCTTGAAAATCATTTAAATTTGGCAAAATGGGATAAATAACATCAGATAAATCTGAATGCAATAATTCAAAAAAGATTCGATTTAATAGTTCATTAATATGAATTTCTTCTTTTTCCGAAAGTACTTTTACTAAAGCTTTTTCTAAACCATCACGTCTAAATTCAAATGTCGTTTTCGAAAACATAGTTTCAATATGATGAAAAATTGATTCGTCAATTCCACTTGAAATCATCTATAAAATTAATATTTGGTGAACAAAAATAATTTATAATTTAAAAAAAATAAATTGAACACAATATAACTTTTTGACTTATTTTCGCGTAATTACGCGTGGACGCGCTTAGCTTAGGTAGATATAATTTTTAGATTGTAAATAACGTGTCAAAGTAAAATTAAAATGGATTACATTTAATTTGTTCGATAAACAATCGAACTTATTAGTCTAAATTGAGATTTTAAAAAGTTGTTAATTTGAATGCGTGAAGAAAATTGGAGAACGAGATTATATATGTGTAATGTAGTCGTAGTACAAAAATAATGAAAAAATATAAAGCCTGATCGAGCTCACCAGGGGTCGAACCTGGAATCTCCTGATTCGTAGTCAGGCGCCTTATCCATTTGGCCATGAGCCCGCTTTTTCTTGAAATATTTTTTTAAAAGAATATTTTATAAAATTGCTATTCTTACTGGATTAGAAAAACATGGCGCAGCCCAACATTTTGATAAATAATTATTATTTATTCATTTAATAATTTTTTCAAAATATAATTGAATTATATAAATGCAATTATATTAGTATTGGTGAATTTATAAATTATTATATTTTTATAAATATTTAATTGCCTTAGTTTTTATAAATAGAGTTTATAAAGTTTACCAGTAATGATAGTCACTATACCAGTATTATGATGTACTTTTGGCCAGAATTAAAAATTTAATAAAATACTGGCTAGCTAGAATAAATAGTAATTTTAAAATATAAAAATTTTCAATTTTAATATTACTTTAAATTTATTGCAAAAAGTTTAAAAATTTAATTAGCTAATTTATTATAATAAAGAAATATATTATAAATATTATAAATTAGTAATTTAGTATAAATTATATAAAGAACTGGGAAGGGAACTCTTTCTAATGATCATAATCATCATATAAACCATTTTTTTTCAAGAAATTATCAGCAACTTTTTTGTTGAAAAATGGCTTCTGGCACTAATAACAGATCACAAGTTGACTATTTAAAAGTCAACCAGCTTATTAATAACCTCAGAAATAGTTCTTTTTTTGATTTTTTAAGGGTTAATCTAAGTAAATACAATGCTAATAATATAAGTGAAGTAGCAGAGAAGATTTAGCCTCCTATGAAGCTTTCTTTTTAAAGTTCAAAGACATTTTTACAACCTTTGGAGTGAAGAATCTTAACAAACTCTTTCACTTTCTCTTTATTGTACTTACATATTTTCAACACTTTTAGCTCTTAATTAATCAGAAAGTTGATGAAAGTTGGAAAAATAGTTTGTTGATGTCATCATAACTGACAATCTAATTATATATCCAGTTCTACAGAAAACACCTCAATAAATATGACACTAATCACCTATGAATATAAATGTAACATAAATTAAAAAAAAAGCAGTACAAATTGAAGTGTTACCTGTAACTCTTAAAGTAAATGCCATGCCTTTTACTTCTAAAGAAAAAGGAACTAAGCAAATTTTCTATGCAGAAGTAATTAAATAGGATTCAAATAGTAACTTTAGCAAACCAAGCTCACCTTTTCCTTATTATGAATAAAAAAAAAAAAAACTGCGTCCATTTTAAAAACTAATCCAACTAGTAACAATTGTAAAACCTTCAAAAAACAACCAGCCAAAACTATTAGCACTATAATGACTGGATATAATTCTGAAATTAAAAATTATATCTGTAAAATTACAGTTTATGATATCCCTTTCAAACAGATCCACTTTAATATGCTTAATCATTTAAAAGCCTAGGGTTAAATAATTATGATTAAATTAAAATCGCAATAGAAATACACTACTATAACTGTATCAGTGGATTTCAATAAAGTGGCAATAAATCTATAGAATAGTGAAACCTGAACTGCTCCACTTAAAGGTTTACCCATGATAATTTCTGACTAACTGGAATCTCAAACAAAGAAAAGAACAGAAAAGATTCCAGACAGTGTTAATAAAAGTTTCTGCTTCTACCATCATTGCATTCTTATATCTGAATAACCCTATCCACTCAGTAATTATACCTACAGGATGTAAAGCATTTAAATTAATTCAAAATAAAGGTACCTGCAAGTTAATAACTTACTACAAATCATGGGCTAATTTGGATAAAGTCATTAGTAAAATTTTCAGTTTAAGCAAATTTATTGGTGATTGAAAAAGGTATTTCTAATTTAAAATAAAAAAGAAATCACCATTAAAAAGTGAAGCAAGATGATGTTTCTAAGGTATCTCAGAAAAATACTAACACAATTAGGTTGGACAAAAAATATAAAATGGCTAAGTAAACTAAGAAAATTGATAAGAGCTTAGACAGTAGTATCAACAAACTTATAGTTTTAGCTAATATTAAATCAATGCTAAGAAAATTAGAAGTATTTTAAGAAATTCAACAGAATAATTAATGAAGCCTAATTTTAGAAGTGTAAATATAGTAGAGTGGTTTCATTGTCAACCTTAACCCTTTTATTTTATTTTTATTTTTATTTTCATTTTATTTCTTTTTTTGTTGTGAAGTATTATTTAATATAAGTATGCCTGAACATTTTTATTATATAGTGGAAGTGAAAAACTTTTGTATATTTATATTTTTATACTGTTACAATTTTAATAAAATTTTAACCAGACATACTATATTAAAATAAAAAAAAAAAGTATAAATCATATATGTAGATGAAAAAATTTGTTTGAATAATTAGTTTGAAAAGCATTTTTCAAACCATTATCCAACTATTAGAATAATACATAATTTATTACTTATTATATATTAAAACTTTTTATAATTTAATTTTATCTATTATTTATAAATCTTTACAATTAAATTTACCTGTAAATAAAATTTTTAGCCATCTAGTATATAATTATAAAAAGATAAAATACAACTTATTATTGGAAATATTTTATAAAAATAAATTTAATAATAATATTATATATTTTTAACTTTTAACCTGAGGTAAAATAACTCAGGTGATATCACCTGATCAATTAATAATTTTATTTTGTCTGATAGGTGAAATCATCTGATTAATTTTATAATTTAATATATTTTATTAATTTTATTAATTTCGATATACCATATAGTAGGTGATTTCACTCAGGTGATAACACCTAAATCAACAGAATATTACGCGATGATATAATGTTTATAATGATTGCTATTGTTTGTGTAAATGATGTAATCTAAGCCTTCCATTTCAAAAAAACTTCACACTCTAGTGTGTTGTTTCAGTTCCAAACCCAAAAAACATTTTATCTGTAGCATAAAAAACAATCTATATCTTGCCTGTATTCTGTCTCTAAAACATTATTTTCTCTAATTATATCTGCCAACAGAACTTACTTAAAATTATTAATGAAAACCGCTATTTTAAATATAAACTTTCCTTATGACTCTTTGTGTGATAGTTCTGATATATTGTTCAACTCCTATTATGATTCTTCATATAGCGGTTCTGACTTGTTATCTAATGTTTATTATAATTTATTGTATGACTCTTCTAACTTGCTGATATCTGATTTATATGACGATTCTTCTAATCTATTTTTTGAAAGTCATAAAGTATATAACGAAACTCAAATAGGAAATCTAGAAGAATGTGATGGAAATGTTAATCATCAAGAAGAATTACAGGTTGAAAAGTGAAAAATCAGGCACCAATCGGTGCCTAATTGGCATTTTCACCAAATACCGGTATCAATCAAGCAGTTTGCTAACTTTTAATCTAGTGATCAGAAAAGGATGAAATATAGCTCATTGGAATCGTCTCAACATGACGAATCTAATGGTAGTAAAATCTCATTTCTAGGATTAATACTTGATAAGAAATTAAGTAAAATATAAAAATAAAAATGTATCATTTATATTTTATTTAATTTTTTATTAACTATTAATCCTAGAGATGCGATTTTACTACCATTAGATTCGTCTTGTTAAGATGATTCCAATGAGCTATATTTCATTCTTTTCTGATCACTGGATAAAAAGTTAGCAAACTGCTTGATTGGTGACAGTATTTGGCAAAAATGCCAATCAGTCACCAATTGGTCACCAATCAGATACCTGATTGGTGACCGATTAGTAACTAATTGATGCCTGATTTTTCACTTTTCGACCTGTGAATATGATAGTAGTGAGTATGAAATAGATGAAGAAAATCATTTAAAATTAAGTCAGGGAATGGAATTTAAAACATGGGAACTTGCCGAATCATATCTTGACAAATATGCAAAATATCAGAAATTTTGTTTTTGGAAAAAAAGGTGTATACAAGATCCAAATAATAATACAATCACAAGACGTAGAACATATGAATGTTCACAAGCTAATACTCACGAAGCCCAAAAAGTCATTTTGGCTGAAAACAGAAGAGATAGAGATTTAGAAATGACGGGATGCTCTTGGCATGTTAATCTTACTTTTCTCAAATCTGGAAATGGTGTTCGTATTAATAGTATAATTGGTAATCATAATCATAATATGAATCCACTCATTGCTGAATTAGCACCAAGGTTTCAAAAATTAACTAATAAAATGCTTATGCAGATAGAATTTTGGACAATTCATGGAAAAATGGGTGTATCAACTCAATATAACCTGCTAGTAGCTTTATTTCCAAATAATGTAATTAACAAAAAGGATTTAAGTAATGCTATTCAAAGATTCAAAAAAAAGTAAACTCTGATAAAAATGATGCATGTCAAATGCTTACCAAATTGTATTTAAAAAAAGAAAAAGATCCAAGATGGATCATAAAGCCACGCTTTGATCATGAAGAAAGAAGGTTAAATTTATTGTTTTGAATATCACTCAATCAAATAGATGCTTATGAAAAATATCAAGACATTATAATTGTTGATACGATGTCAAAAACTAATCAATTTAATATGATATTAATGTTAATTATTGCAGTTGATAATAATTTTAGAAATGTGATCATAGCAGCAGCGATTTTGGAAGATGAGACAGAAATTACTTTTGCATGGGTTTTACAAGAATTAAAAAATAAACGTCAATATCGAAACAATAATCCGCAGCTTACGGTTCTGGTTCTACCAAAACTCAAAAACAAACGTCGAAACAGGAATCCGCAGCTTCTGGTTCCGGTTCTACTAAAATTCAAAAACAAACGTCAATACCAGAAGCTTCGGAAGATAATGAGCCATTGAATTCTTGTTATATTACACTAAATGTCATATACTCTGACGCTAATCTAGCATTAATATCAG